GTTTGATCTAAAAAATAAAGTATTATATTATGTAGAACTTTTTTTTATGATAGCAACTTTAAAATAAAATATATAAACATGATAAACCTACCATCTCTGTAATCGTCTCTTACATCGATGTATGCAAACTCTAAACCGGAGCCTTTTTTAGGATCTTCTACTCCTTGCAATTTAGCGATAAGAGTTGTTTTTCCACTCTCATTATCACCTACAAATAAATTATAAAAACTTCAACATTGTAAGAGCAGAATTGTGATGTCATAATTTTTTTCTCTTGCGATGACACATAAGAAAGGTCAACAACTTGATGCTCTCTCTCGTTCTTATGCGAATACTTAACATGCGTTGTTATATATGCATTTAGTATGCAAAACACGTTGACGTAAAACGTTACTTTGAAATATAATAATAGAAAATTTACCCAAGACAAGGACATTCTTGTTAGATGGCAGTTTGTTGTTCCCGTTGTTCTGTACTTCTGCCAGAATAGAGGACCTGTAAAAAGTATTAATTAAAAAGATTATTTTTTGTGCTAGGAGCATATGACAAATATTGTAAGCATATTATATGAAAAATACAAAATATTATGTACATTAATAATAAGATAAATAATTAGAAGTATTTATCAACAATTGATCATTAAACTTACCACAAATTGTCTTTATTTTCCGGATCTTCTTTCTTTTTCGATTGGAAAGCATTAGTTTGCACCATCGTATCAATCATCGTTGCTGCCATTATCCATTTGACAGAAACGAAATACACTATCGATTGTGCGCAGAAAACGGGTGCGGTTCGCTACTAACTTTATTTTTTACCGATCGTTGCTTTTTCATATGGATTTAACTAAAACAAATATTATTCTATATAACAGGATATTTATTACTTAATACATAATAAAAAAAATTGCATTACTCTCATTACTTCTCCATAAATAAATGTATACGAATATGTGAATTTCAACGTAAAGTTTAGTCATCGTCGCCTTTTTCTACATTACCGACACTTCCAAAGAATGGATTTTATTTCTAAAAAATAACTACAGAGGACATTTCGATCGCACCAAAATATCGATGCGCTAGGAAGATGTAAAATCTTATCTATTTATTAAACTTTGTTTGTGTGTAACGATAGTAGTAATAGATTTGTACGACGTTTTAAATCGTGATTTATAACGATGTTAATTTCCAGGGGTGTAAATCTTTTAAAACACATTTCGAAACATGTTAAGAGAAAAAATACTCTAATTAATAATCAACCTATACGGTTATCACATGCTGAGTAAGTACCATTATATTACATAATATTTTATGAAGGTTATATTAATTTTTTACTTATATGATTAATTATATTTAAGTTTACGAATATGTTATCGAGGTTGTCTTCAAAATGAAAAAACAAAGATAAAATTAATTATTTATAACTCAATAATTTTTGTACTTACATGCAGGCACATACTTAATTATAACTGCCTATGTAATTTTATGTTACTTAAAATATGTTCCTCTCAAATATTTAGATGGGGTTATAGAGAAGATACAACAAATGAAAAAAGCAAAAAATATTATTTAATGGCAGCCGAATTTTTTGGTGGAATTGCTTGGTGGTGGTTTCTATATAGAATGTGGCATGATCATTCGCATCTTGTTGTAAGTACTGTGATACATTTTATAATTTTTAATAGTTATTACAATTTCTATTGGCAAGCAAGAAGCAAAGATTTTTTGAATAAGAAGCAATTGGGTTCTCAAATATACTACCAAGACATTACAACCTAGCAACAGTATAACAGTATTATTATTAGATAAAGCGTGTCACTGTGATTATTACTTACGAATACTTTAGTCCCATACTATATCTAAATAAGTATTATTAAAAATATTATATTCTAAGCATTTATTTTAATGTTGTATGTTTAGGGACATTTTGAATATCCGGATGCATCAAAATGGACAGATGCAGAATTAGGAATACCACCTGATGATTATGATTAATTGAACATATATACTTCTGTAGATAATTAATATGTTCCTTAATGTTGGCAACAAATTTTCTGAGTAACAAGGTAAACCTTTGTTTAGGAATTTAACATATTAGTAGTTATACTACTATAAAAATTAAGTAACAAATATTTGTAGTACAATTGTGTATGATATTTATTAATAAACTTGTACTACTTATAAAAGTTGCTATTATGAGCATTTTATTCAGTAATATTTATATACAAATCATATAAATGTAATTGTATAAAGTAGACACAAAAATAGTGATTTTAAAAAAGAAAAACCAAATTTCTTTCACTTCATAGTACTTTATATGGATCTATGTATAACATTCTTCAATTACATTTCTGGCAGCTTAATAGAAATCGTTTTAGTTTCAAGGTATTCTTTTAAACCTTCTTCACCCCTGAAACATATATTATAATTATAATAACTTTAACAAATTTTTGTTCATCAATAACTTACAGTTCACGTCCAATTCCTGACATCTTATATCCACCGAACGGTGTTTGTGGTGTTATAGCATCATATGTATTCACCCTAAGTCAAAATACCGTTTTATAAACTATTATTTTTATTCGTGTATGTACTAATTATAAAAATAATTATTATTTACTTACCAAACACTTCCAGCTTCTACTGACTTTGCAAATATTATTGCCTTTTCAATATTGTTAGTTAAGACACCAGCAGCAAGACCATACGTAGTTTTATTAGCACGTTCAATAACTTCTTCCATAGTATCAAACTTCAAAATAGATTGTACCGGACCAAAAATTTCTTCCTTTGCAATTCTCATGTTATCCGTTACATTAGAAAATACAGTAGGCTTTTAACATAATTATAATATATTAGACAAAAATCAAATAAATAGTAGTATATGCAACTATTTAATATAAAATTGAAAAATATCAATACCTTTATGAAATACCCAACATTACTATAACGTTCACCACCAGCTTCCAGTACAGCGCCTTCCTCTTTTCCAGATTTAATCAAACCCATAACTTTGTTAAACATCTCGTCATCAATTTGTGGTCCCTGTTCTGTTTCAGAATTAAACGGATCTCCGACCTTTTTATCCAGCGCTAATTGTTTCGCGTATTTTACGAATTCATCATAAATCTTAGAGTGTACAAACGTACGCGATCCCGCGCAACAACTCTGACCATGATTTGAAAACAGAGCGCTGTGGGCTATCCCAGCAGCTTTTTTAACTAAAATAATTCAATCAACTTATTTTATTATTGTTTTCCATTGATACCAAAATTTAATAAATAAAAATAAACTATGTAATATTTATTTATATCTATACTTACCATCGAAGTCATCAAAAATAACAAGTGGACTTTTGCCACCTAATTCAAGACTAACTCGTTTTAGATTACTTTTGGCAGATGCTTCTAAAATTAAATGTCCAACCTAAAAAAAAAAAGACGAAACAATATTTTGATTGTAAAATTAAAGAATATTATTACAAAAGATGATAATTACTTCAGTCGATCCTGTAAAAGCAACTTTATTAATATCCGGATGTTTAGCTATAGCAGCTCCTGCTGTCGGTCCATATCCTGTAATAACATTGATGACACCAGCTGGAAATCCTGCCTCTTTCGTTAATGCTGCTGCATACAAAGCGCTCAAAGGGGTTTGTTCTGCTGGTTTTAAAATAACAGTACAACCCGTAGCCAAAGCTGGAGCCCATTTCCATGATAACATCATGAACGGATAATTCCATGGAATAATATGACCGACGACTCCTACCGGTTCTTTACGTGTAAATACAAAACTAGAACCATCTGAAAAATAATCATAATAAAATATAATTTTGTTCTAATATATGTACAAAAATAATAGCATTTTTAATATACCTGCAGGAATAGTTTGGCCGTGTATTTTATCACACCATCCAGCATAATAACGAAACACTTCTATGCTATATTTGATATCGTTATAGGCGTCAACATATGTTTTTCCATTATCCATAGTTTCAAGAGTTGCTATATATTCTAAATCTCGTTGTACAAGATCTGCGAACTGAATGCACATGCACAACATTTATTTATGAAGAATATAATATGCTAATGTATAACTATTTTGTTAACATATTACAAACATATTAATTAATACCTTATTAATTAGTTTTCCTCTACACGATGCATCCATTGTTCTCCATTCTGAATTTCTTGCGAATGCTTTTTTCGCAGCTGCCACAGCTTTATCAACGTCAGCCTATTGATCAAAATAATATAATCTTATATTATATAATATATATATANTATATATATATCTTATTAAATATAAATATTAAATATTATTAAAAAGAAAAACACACCTTGTCACCTTCAGAAATTAGAGCTATCACTTTTTCATTAGCAGGATTTATGGTGGAAAATTTCTTTCCACTTTCGGCATCCACGAATTCATTGTTGATGAACAACTATCAATTTTAACGATTATTAAGTAATTATTTTAAAATTTTATTATCGATTTAAAGAATTAATTTACCTGAGTATATTTAATGTCAACTTTCTGTACCATCTTGATGGTTATTAACCAATTTCTCTTGGTGCTTACTTAAATTGTCCAATACTTTCGACGAATGAGATCAAATGGACAATTTTATCTCGTCGTTTCTCTTATATTAATCACTTATCGCAAAAATAAACCAGTCATAATTTGGAGATAGCTATTTGAACTTGCCAATTCATCATTGAACATTGAATAACAAAAAAGATAATTATATCACAGACATACACACAATTATGATAAAGTTTAATATTAAATATTTGTGCATGCAAAACTCAATTATAAAATTAATTATGTATTATCTTTATTGCGTCCCAAAGTTTACAAGGCTCCCGTTTCCATTGCTCTTTACATAATTTCTTATTCTTATAAGTACATATTTTTCCTTATCATTATAAAATTAGTTAATAAAGTAAATTAATTATATGATTTTTAAATTTCATTTGATACATCTCAACATATTTAAAAATACATTTATTCATAAAAAATTTAAATTAAAAAAAAGTAAATTAATTTTATTTGGAAAGTCTTGATAGATCGATAAAGTAGCCTTAGAAACAACTGAGAAACAGAATTTTAAGTGTAAATATTCGTCGATCTTCGTAATTTCGTTTATTTTTAGATCTTTATACATATATATATATATATATTGTTTTCAAAAATTAATATTTCTTGATAATTTATTATTTAGTAATAATAATATTTAAAAAATGCTAGATATCGAGGAGACAAGAAATCATGCGTGCGGTGATTTACAATTTATACAAAATGTGAAGGAACAGGTGATTTATTAATAATTATGAAAAATTTTAATTCCTTTGATAGATGTCAGTAATTATAAACAGAGGACTAAGTTAAAACATTTTAACAATTTATTTTATAGTTTATTTTATAATATTAATATAATTGTAGTAGTAAATAAATCCTAAAATCAATTTTAAAAATTTAGTTACTTAGTCCATGATCTCATGGTCCAAGATTTACGAATAACTTATTTTCATAAACAATAATGTTTCTTGATTCATTAATGAACATGTATAAACTGTTTTAATATTTTGTTATTTATAGGATAAATTTCCTTGTCCTATGAACGAAGAAATTCGTAAGGAATCAGATGAAAAGAAAAATCCATTATATTTTCCTCAACCAGGAGATGAACTTCCAATGAAAGATGAAGGACCAATGGATGAAACAGGTCCATGGGCAGCAGGTCGAGTAACATATACTCCACAAGGTGGTATAACAGGTCTACGACCTGTTGCCGATCGTTATTCTATAACTCGATTTGGTCCGAGCGAATGGAGACAACACAATCATACATTTTTTCAACAATCTGATGAAAATATTCGTAAAGCCCAGTACGTTTAATTAATAGAAAAAATCATATTTTTTTGCTAATTAACATACTATTGAGATTTACTATTAGATAAAAATTAATGTGTTTCAAATCTCGATTATATTTATAACTGAATTAAAATTGCCATTAAGATATTTTAAATTCAAGAAATTTGGTAATATAAAAATTCATCAAATAACAGTATTTAATGTAGTAAAAAAATATTATAATAATTTAATTTTATTTAACTAAAATTATATAATTTTATGTAATTTTTAAATCTCTTACATATACTCCTAAATGTATAGAAGTATAAAATTTAATTGTACTTCATATTATGGATGTCACCATAATTGAACCTGTAGAGTGAAATTACATAATTTAAAAATTAAATAAATAATGCAATTATACATAATCAATAATTACATAAATTGTACAAATGTAGAAACATGATTATATCCGAGACCGTTTAATAATATGTCAATGTGCATATTGAGAGATAAGATATATAAAAATTGATAGAAAATATTGCAAAATATTGATTTCAGGCATGCAACATTTGCCGCAAAACAATGTATCGAAAGAGTATATAGAGAAGCTGATAAACAGCAATTAGAAACAAAAGATTATTTAAGAACACGAGCTAACGTTGTCCACCGATGGAAATTAGAATTAGATCACGCACTTCACAGTATTACAGAAGAAATAATTTTATTAGAAGGAGAGAGACGTCGAGTTAAACAATCTCTTTCCGTTATAACTATTCCCGAATCTATAGCCGGCGAATTTTTACAATTACGAGCTACTCGTCTCGAATCGGATCTCGTTAAAGATGATCTTGAGAAAGAACTTACAAAGGTTACTGATAATTATATATTTTATTTTTTTTATTTGTTTAATGATAAGTTACTCAAAATTATCTTAACAAATATTTGTCCAGTTGATCCACTTTATTCCAAATGATCTCACATCACAAGTTATAAAATGAACATGGTGTGTATATATATATACTATAAGATACGCGGTTTGAAACCTAATATTTAACAATTTTCTAACTTAAAGTTTAATGCAATCAAATTACATTTCTAATTGTACACTTTTATCTTTTCCTTTTTTTTACGGTGTTGGTTTTTTAATTCTAATGATTTTTTATTTTTTTTATATATAATGCAAAGATCAGTCTTTTTATATTAACAGTAAAATGCTCTTGTACTTGGATACATCGTCGATTAAGATTAAGATTAGGATTAGTTAAGATTATTACCATAGAGTACAAAATGTATGTTTATCTTATCGCTGCCAGATTCTATATTACGATTTTTAATGATTTTTAAATTTCTTTACGTGATATACAGGAAGTAGCACTTTGCTCAGAGATACGTGATTTGTTAAACAGGACACGTGAACAAATAGAAATGCAATTAATCGAATTAAAAGCAGCTAAAGCTAGAATGGAAAATGATTGGACCGATAAAATCGATGCTTATGAAAGTGATACTAATTGTATCAAAATGAATAACGAATCACCTCTCATATTATGGAAGCCCGGTGCTACCAGATTTCCAGCCGAGTAAGTTATATCAAAAAGATACATTTGAATAGTATATTAATTGTGTTCATACATTTCTAATATATCTTATTAGACAATCAACACCTGCGAGTTATGAACATTTTACACGAGAAGTATTATCCACCGGAGAAACTGTCAGACAAAGATCAATTACTCTTAGATCAACTTTAGATGATATTTATAATAAATCATTAAAAGATCTTCGTAATCAAGCGAGTCGAGTTGATACTGCATTGGCTGCACAAATCAATTTAACGGAAGGAATATGTCTGCAGTTAGAAAAAGAATTGCAAAGAGTATAAATTAACTTTTATATTAATATTTTTTCACACAAATTATTTTGAATAAATATAAGAAAGAAAATTTGTTTTAGTGTTTACAAGAACTCGCAAATACAGAGAATTTAATCGAAGAACTTCGAGGATCTACCAAAGGTTTGGATAACGCAATGAAATTGGCACAAACGTGTCTATCCGAACGTTTGTTACGACGCAACGTTGAAAGTTGTCGTGATGTACCACAATTTGCGTAAGTGAAAACAGAGATAATAATTTAATTTTCATATTTATCTATATTCTCTCGTTGAAAATAATTAAGTTGTAAATCGTACGAAATAATATTTTTTTTTTCTCAAGACTCGTAGATGAAGTTAAATCTTTAGGAGAACGAGTTACTGCAACTTTAAACGAATTAAAACGTGCCGAAGATACTCAAGCTGGTTTAATCAAAGCCAGAGGTGATTTGGAACGAGAAATAATAGTTAAGCGAAAAACTTTATATATAGACAGACAACGTGGACAATTACTTCGTTCGTTTTACCCTTCTGCCACTACACTTTCAGGATTTTAAATTGATCTATGCACACGCATTTAATATAATTATAGCGCATCCGTAAATTAAAAACAAATTACGTTACTTCATTATTTAAATTGCAATAATAATTTATAGAATAGATTATAAGAAATATCCTACGTGTGTTCATGTATGCTTTGATCGAAATGCAATAGTATATGTTCATAAGATATACAAATCCCCAAGCTTTGATCATAAATCTTTGTAATACACATTTCTTAACGATATTTCCTATAATGTTAAAGACGACAATAATAACAAAGTATGTGTGATTACAGTTCATCGTGAGATCGTAAATGATTCATGACAAATCCATAAAGATCGTCAAGATTACGGGATCCATTATATTCGGAAACTTTACGACCATTTCTATATAAGTACAATGTTGGAAAACTATCTACTTCTTCCTCGTAACATAACTGCTTGCAGGTATTAAGTGTACAATCCACTTTAGCTATATGAACATCTTCATTAGCAAAAAATTTTCTACCAAGCTCTTCCCAAGTCGGTGCCAGACGTTTGCAATGTCCGCACCAAGGTGCAAAAAACTTCACAAATGAAACACCTTTTTCAACACTATGTTTGAAGCTATCACCGGTTAAACTTAATACAGTATGAATGGTACTATCCGAGCTTTCATCTTTGTTTGTAGACTCTTCTGCACTTTTTTCAAGCATCGTTGACACATAATTCTTCAAATCTTCATGAGTTCTTTGACCGGTATATTTATCCACCTAAAAAATGTATATATGATTGATTTTATATTTTTAAAATATTGTTTTTTCATAAACATAAAATTTTTACCTTCTTTCCATCTTCTATCCAAAGTAAAGTTGGATATCCTTTTATTTCAAATTCCTCGCATACACTTCTGTGTAAAGTACAATCAACTTTAGAAATACTAACAGAATCGTCGTTACGAAGACTGTTAGCTAATTCTTCCCATGTTGGGGCCAATTTTTGGCAATGGCCGCACCAAGGAGCATAAAATTTAACAAAATGATAACCTTTCCCAATATGAAAATCAAATGACTCTTCTGTTAATTCTAACAAACCATTCACTGGTTCTGGAGGAGATGGCGCATCATCTTCTTCCTGATTAAATTATAACATATGCCTATAATTATAACTCAAATACAAATATATAAGATAGCAAAATATGTAATATAAATATATATACAGAACCAGTACCGTTGATATAGTACCCAATTGGTCACCGATAAAAGTAAGTAATGAAGGTAGATCACGCGTTCCTCTAAACTTAATACCTTTAGACTCTCCTGCTTTGAAGAACTTAAGTCTGTAATAAACACACACATACATGAAAGTATGTACATTAATCCTTACGATGCAACTATTTCATTCATTAGTACTTCTACTGTACACCAGTACAAGATGAATATAAATTTTATTGTGAAGTAGATAAAGAATGAGAGATTACAATGTAATGCATTTAAAATATTCAGATTTTAAAAATTGTTAACCGATGCTATATATTAATGGGAAACTATAATTACCGATAGTTTTGAAAGGGTTAAAATTATACATATCTTTAAAATACATACGTTGGATATCCAGTAACATCATGTTCACTACAAAGGGTACTGTCAACAGTACAATCAACTTTTGCTATTTTAATGTTCCTATCTTCTTCATTAAACACCTCAGCTAATTGTGTCCATGTCGGCCCTAATCTTTGACAGTGACCACACCTAAACAAAATTTTTAAACAAATCACAGTAAGCAAACATGAATATAATATAAAAATATATTTGTAAAAAATATAAAATTAAATAGAAATTATAAATATATATATATAAATATTTACATACCAAGGTGCATAAAACATCACAAAGCTATTTTTTTTTTTAATTTCATCCAAAAAAGTTTCTTTAGTGTATTGTATAGTGTGCATATCATTCTCATGTCCACTGCTGACTTGACTTAACATAAATAAAAATAGCCAAATTTGCTTTTTTAAAATAAATAAATTAACAAGATTTGTTGCCATGATTAATATAAATTAAAATATATTTTTAAATTTTATAAATTTCGATTAGAACACATATAAGTTATGTTTTTAAAACACGATTTTTAATTGTAATCAAACATATGATATTAGACACACTATATGTTATTTCAATCACTTTAGAAACTAACAATATTATTAAAATAATGACTACTAAATAAAGATTAAAGCGTATTTTTTTATATTGTCGGTACACTTTAAATAAAAAAAATTCAGTTAAATTCGTCGGAGTATTACAGAAAACCGATCGAAACCATCCAATCCGCCTCCCACAAGACGCGAAATTGTTATGTCTTATTCAAATGGATTTCACGCCCCCAAAAACGCCCTTCTCATTTTTTAATTAGAAAAGATTTGATAAAAATTATTCTCTGTTTTTTATTTTAAAAAGTATGAAAAATAAAAATTTCAATAATTATTTTAAAATAATCAATAACACAATAAAGAAGTATTCATATATAATTTTATTTTATATTTTTATTATTAAGTTAAATCCACGTGAGTGAAATAGGAATTTAGAATCGGCGTAAATTTAACATTAGCCAATCACGGCGCCGTATTTCTTTCTTTTCTGATGACATTTAAATTTTTATCAAATCTAGTATCTATTCTCGTTTACTATGATTAGAAAGTATAGCATATATACATATATACATATATTTTTGTATAATAATAATTATGTAATTTGATCTATTCATATAAAATAATAGAATGTTGATGAAATATTTTATGTGAAAAGAAACAATGGGTAAAAACAATTCATAGGTTAATATAGGTATATGCAAGTCTATGGGCAAGTTGGTAGTGTGTGACACTTAATTAATTATCATAAACTAGCAGGTGAAATAAATGTTGATGCATCATTATTAGGAATACAAAAGAAAACGCATTTATTATAATCTAAGTGCGTAATTAATTGATAAATCAGAGTTCTGATATGTGATAGAGAATGAGTAAATATAAAAAAAAGATAAATCATTGTGCTGTGTTTAAGCAACGAACGAAAAATGACGATAACGATGAATTATCGAATTCTATGATAATGCGTGCAAGAAAAACGGGTCAACTTAATTTATCCTCGAGAGGATTATTTACTGGTATTTATATTAAAACATGTCTGATAGATTTAGCAAAAATATAAATATAAATATATATATTTTTTATTTTTTGTTATCACTTATCAATATGTTTATATATGATTACGATAGAGATTATAGTTCTTTCAGGCATGTTCAAGAATATCAGAATGCTTGGTCAATGTATTGTGCCATTCATGCATGCGTGTCTCTATTGAGAATTTAAGTATCGTTATCATTTAAATCTTGTAATAAGATTTTAATGCTTTTGCGTAGAATATTATCATCTTCTTCTGCTAAGTCTATTAGATAATCATTTCTACGTTTCAAAAGTATTACAAAAATCTATATTTAAATTTATTAAACAATTATCACAATTTTATTATTATTATATAATAAATTAATCATGCATTTATATATATACTCGTTCACTCGTTTAGGTTTCAAAGTATTTGTTTACAGATTTTTATGATTAATTTTCATTATGTTTTATTGGTATATGTGTTTACGGTCAAGAAACTATTTTGTACTTTATGATATTATTTAAAATAAATATCCCATAAAAAACATTGTCTCTCATTTTTTTTATGTTCAATATCGTCTTTATAATATAATCATACTCACAATCGCATTATCATTTTTATTTTAAATTAGAAATTTTCTGAAATATAACAATGTTATAATATCGATAATTTAATTGGCTTGTTAGAAACAGCCTTGCATGCTTTTATGCACTTGCATTCATTTAATGTTTCACGAATTAATATATATCAATTTTTTCATATATAAATCGCATTGTCAAGGTAAGTTATGTTTATTTTATATTCTATCATTTATTAAATTTCACCTTCGATGTTTATAATTATTGTGTAGTTTATCACATTGAATGTATATAGAAATGAATGTATAAAAAATGAAGATATTCTCTCTATGTTAAACGATGAATAATTTTATTCAAAAGAACATATTTATATATTAGGATTGATGAAATAAAATGCTAATGTTTACATCAGCTGTACTTAATTAATACTTTTCAGTACCAAGTAGAGTATGGACTATAAATGAATTAACAGAGGATGAATTAAAAAAATTAAATTTTGAACTTGACTATGATGAAACAGAGCAGAGATGGTGGGAACAAGAACCTTTAAAAATATTAAACTTAAGTTGTAATAGTCTAACTACTATTGATGCACAAATAGATAATTTAAATAATCTTACAGAACTGGATGTACGTATACCAGTTATTGAATATATTTAAAAAATGTAAAATTTATCATGCTAAAATACATGCATAAAGAATAGAATTAAATTACAACAAAAAATACCATAGTTAATTTTTATAAATATTAAAAATAATTTTAAACAGTTACACAGCAACTTATTACAAAAATTGCCAAAGGAAATAGGAAATCTAACGAAAATGATAACTTTAGATTTATCGCATAATAAATTAGAAGAAATACCTACTCAATTTTACCGTCTTTTGGAATTACATAATTTAAATGTGAAGAAAAATCTTTTAAAAGAGCTAGACACTGGAATAACTGATTTAATTATGCTAAGTCATTTGGTAAATTAATTATACATAGTATTAGAATTATTTATTTACTCATAGATATAATAAATAATTCTCTCTCTCTCTCTCTCTATATATATATATATATATATATATATGTAGGATCTATCTCATAATAATTTAATTGAATTACCTATCGGGATGGGGTATCTCGTCAGACTTATTTTTTTGGATGTAAGCCATAATTCTTTGAAAAATTTACCACCTGATATAATGAATATGAGAGGTGAGTTTAATCATCATTAGTTCACTAATACCATATAGGGATGACATTAAATATACGTAAGAATATTCTCTTTTATATAGCATTACAAAAGTTGATTGCGAGTTATAACGAATTAAAAGAATTACCATCTCTAAGCGAATTACGAAAAGTTGAGACAATAATGTTACAAAATAACAAATTAACAATATTTCCTGATTTATCTGGATGTGTCGCATTGAAAGAACTTCATTTATCAGAAAACAATATCGTTGTATGTATCCTTTAAATATTATTAGACAGAAGCAATGAGTTTTTAATGCAACATTCTTAGAAGAAATCAGTAATTTAATTCAAATTATTTAACAGGATATTAATATGTTGCATTTAGAAGAAGTTAGGCAGTTACAAGTATTAAGTCTAAAGAATAACAACATAAAAGCTATTCCGGAAGGCATAATTCAATTTATAAATTTGGAATACCTTGATTTATCGAATAATAATATATCCTTGTAAGTAATTGAATATATTTCTTTATATATTTAATATAAACAAGACATCATTGAAATTTTATTTACTTGCAGAATACCAGTATGCATTGGTATAATGCCAAATTTAAAAAAGTTCTCTATTGAAGAAAATAATATACAAAATGTAAGAGCTGATATAATACGATGTGGTACATCCCGCATTTTAAAACATTTGCAACAAAGCATAGACATCGCTAATATAAATGTAAATGACTCAGTGTTATCGAATACAAGCACAATTACATACCCGAATAAGTGTGTACTGTATATCTATTTCTTGTTATATATTACGTTATTAAAAATTAATTGTTAGGTACTTGTATTTACAATATGAAAGTATTATATTGTTACAACAAAATTTTAGATATATGATGAAAAATACAAGAATGTTAAGTCTAGCAGGTTACAATTTAAACGAGTTGCCAATAGAAGTATTAGAAGATGCAAATACAGCGGGTGTAACTTTAATTGATTTAAGTAGAAATCAAATGCATGAATTGCCTGAAATGTTTTCTGTAATAACAACAGTTACAGATTTGAAACTAACATCTAATATTCTAACACATTTACCAGAATGGATCGGTGAAAAATATGAACGTTTACAGGCACTGGATTTAAGCAAAAATCGTTTGTTATCGTTACCATCAACAATTGGTTTATTAAAATATTTACGAAATATTGATATTTCTTTTAACAGGTATAATAAATATAATTTTGTTAATATTTCATTTTCATTCACGTATGACAATAAAACATTCTCAATATTACAAGTATGATGTAAATAATAACATTTTCATGGGGAATTATGCTTGCATGTAATTTTATTTGTAATCATAGATTCACAGAACTACCAGAACATATTTATGATATAAGTTCTCTGGAAACGTTAGTGGTAAATGATAATATGGTAACGAATATCGATGTTCCATCATTAACAAAACTAAAAAAACTTGCTGTTTTGAATCTTACAAACAACAATATTGACAATGTGCCAGCAGAATTAGGAAATTTAACAAATATAAGGTAAATACATAATAAAATTTAAATATTGTGATTATTAAAATTAATTTATTTTTTTAATTTTCAGGTCTCTTATGTTATCTGGAAATTGCTTCAAAAATCCAAGACAAGCTATTTTAGCCAAAAGTACGGAGGAAATTCTTGCATATTTGCGTAATCGAATACCTCAATAACCATAAAGGAGAGATAATAAGTAGTTATACTTAAAGTACAAACGCGATAGACTATCTCGAGTTATATTCAAAATATATTATATTTCATATAATATATGGTTTTGCAAAAGGACATTTAGATATGTAAGCCTGAATTTTTAACGATACTTAAATGAAAGAGTACGTAGCTTTTTTAAAATAATCTATGACATTTTATGATCTACGTCTTCTTTTATTTAAGATCAGTATCGTTCACATCTCAGATTTAATAGATTGAATTAAATAGACTTTATTGCCGCTGTTAAAATGTTAAAATAATATAGAATTTCTTTTCTAACTCTATCGCATCTAAAATATTTCAGGCCAAATATTGCGGAAAAATAGTTGTGTATATCTTAATATACATTACAATTCAGATTTATATTTAATAATAATATATATATATTTGTTCAACGCGTTAAAATGATTCAAATTTATTCGCCTATTTCCAGAAAATAACAAATTATTATTGGAAATAACATAAACAATATTCATACAAATTTTATTGCTAGTATTTGGTTTTATTGATCCTTTTTTATTTAAAAGATACTCATTTAAGTACTTATTTATCTTTACTCTCTCTTATAAGTATCTATTTCATTTAAAAAAAAAAGATTATTTTATTTTATAAGAATTAATTTGTTCTATTGTTTTTGTTTAGTGTGTTATTTATAGTATTGAAATAAGGTAAGAAATCGATAAAAAATATTACAATAATGATTTAAAAAATAAAAACTATATAAAAAAAATTGTACTTATATCCTTTCAACGATTTTCATCATTTTTAGGGATTAGTATGTAAGTATATAAATACTAATCAAGATTATTTGTTAACGAGGGTTTAAGGTTATCGGTATATTTTTAAAATGGAGCTCTACAATTATTTTTACTTAAATTGATTTCTTGTGTTATTTTGAATAAAAAAGTATTATAGTAAAATATCCAAAAATTATTAATTCGTTAGTTATTTTGAAAAAATGTACGACGATTCACGCAACTGTAAGAAGCCATCTTTTTTTTAAGTTAAAGGGAAAAATGTAAGAAGAAGAAGAAGTGATTTATGGTAAATCCATGATAAAACTATGTGGTTTGTGATATAAAAATTAAAGAAATGTATATTAAAACTGAATAAAACAAATATATATTTAATTTCTATTCGATGAAAAAATTTTAAATGTAAATTTGTGTATGTATATATACGTATATACATACAAGAGTGGATGCAGCGTGAAGTTAGTGTTGAAAGACTACATATATAGAAATAATTTACGCAGTCATTTAGTTTTCTCTGACGATTCCGGAGTGAGCTGGTTACTCGAAAACAACAATAATATTAAATAGTTATCAATTATTAGGCCATTTATATTTGTGTATTTTTGTAAACTTTATTTAAATAATGTAATACCACAATTATAACCAACATCGTTTTATTTACATTCTAAGTTTGATTATTCATAAGTCATAATATTACATGTTTTGATGTCATCAAACACGTAAGTATGTTATTAGAAATAAAATATTAATGTTCTAAATTAAATTATATTTATATGTTAAAATATGATTTTTGTATCTTTAGTATTATTTATTAATAATTATTAATCAATCTGTTTTTTTATCTTTTTAGAAAGAAAAAATGTCAGAAATAGATTTTCCTATAGATGATGAGATATTTCTGTCAGAGTTTTTTTCTGATGATAATATTCCCATAAGTACCAGCTCTCAACTTAGTTCAAATAAATGTAAGTTTATATTAAATAATTAAAAAATTTAACGCATAAGTTAGTAAGATCTACTAAATTGCTTTTTTCTTATATTATTTTCTAAAGCGAGCTCAACATCATCTATTAGTGTTATCGAACCAGAATCTATAAAAAATAACATTCCTGAGTGGAAAGGAGTTAGTATGAATGAAATTTATAAGGGCTTGGGTAGTTACGATTGTCAAGAATTTCCACCAATCAAGCCTTCCGCAAATCATACAGTATTAGTACAGGTAATAACATTGTCTATGTAATTTATTATTTATTCATACAATGTATGGTTTTGATTACTAAAGTAATACTTTTATAACTTAAAATAGTTGCCATTACCTGCACGGGGACCACCAAAGCCATATCCTTCCTATCTAACAAATAAATGGAGCCAAGGTTATGTACATATGCCGTACTCTATTTATAGCCTTTATCCTAATGAACAGGTATTTTCTATACAACAAAATAACAATCATAAAATAAAAGAAAGAGAAAAATCGATATTAACAAATTATTTTTTAGCAAGGAGACAATCGCCATTGCCGATACCGGTGGGAAATAATTCAAGAATCCTTACTGCAAACTATTATGTCTAGCCATCAATTAGAAAAAGCTATTTTATCGTATAATCATTTGTATACACACAGATGGAATTTCTCAGCATTACATCATTTTTTCTTAGAGGTAATCATTAATAATTATAATTAGTATATAGTAAAAATCTTTATATTTATTAATTTATCCTTTTTTGTTTTTGACAAAGACTTTGGAAGAAGAAGAAGTTACTGCATTTTTTAAAACATTATTTCCTAAAATGGTGGATCTTGCCTTGCAACTTCCTAGATTAGTAACAGATGCAATACCTCTCCTGAAATCTCATTCGAATAAAACTATCAGTCTTAGTCAACAACAAGTTTCATGTTTATTAGCGAATGCATTTTTTTGTACATTTCCAAGACGCAATTCTTCTAGTCCTACGTCCGAATACTCAAATTATCCTCACATCAATTTTAATAGGTATAATAATAATAATAATAATAAAATACTTTTCTTTATAATAGTATATAATAATGTGTATTACGACATGTAAATTAATATTTTGCTTTTTTAATGAAAGGTTTTTAATATTGTAGACTTTTCTCAGCAATTAGGAAAGATAAGCCTAATCGACGTGAGTCAGTAATGGAGAAATTTAAATGCATCTTTCATTACTTCAGAAGAGTAACAAGTAAAGGTGAGTGCAATTGTTGATATCTGCGTTACGCAAACAAAACTGATTATTTATTTTATATATTAAATTAAAATAATAGAAAAATCTTTTGGAACTTAGACTGCATTATTTTTTGATAAATTAGTTCCGGAAGGAGTAATAACGATTCAACGGCGTTATATTCCAAAACACGACTTTCCAAAATGGGATAATATTGAGAAAAAAGTTTTACCGTTACATATTACTAGTAGTGGAACAATAGATAACGATGGAGCTGGTCTTCTTCAAGTCGATTTCGCTAATAGGTATTGTATTTATTCAACTAATAAGTTTAATCTAATTTTTTATTTTAATGAAATATAATATCATTTATAATAGATATGTAGGTGGAGGTGTACTTACAATGGGTTGCGTACAAGAAGAAATACGCTTTGTTATCTGTCCTGAACTTATGGTAACCATGTTGGTTACAGAAGCTTTAGATGACACGGAAGCTCTTGTTGTTAGTGGTGTTGAAAGATACAGCAAATACGAAGGATACAGTAACAGTTTCAAGTGGACTGGTGACTTCGTTGATGAAACACCTCGAGATAGTAGTGGAAGGCGCAAAACAACTATTGTTGCTATTGATGCACTACGTTTTACTCAAACAGCATTGCAATTTAATTTGAACAAAATAATACGCGAACTTAATAAGGTTACAAAATATTTATTTTCATATAAAAATTATGAATTTTTTTATCGTTATGATTTAATCTTTTTATTTATATCTAGGCATATGTGGGATTCGTTGGTTACGATTTGTACAAAGATAATTTACCTGGAGTAGCAACTGGAAATTGGGGTTGTGGTGCTTTCCGAGGGAATCCCAAATTAAAAGTATTATTGCAATTAATGGCAGCTTCAGTAGCTGGTCGAGCTATGGTATATTTTACATTTGGAGATCCAACTTTACGAGATGAAATAGCAGCAATGCACTTGCATCTAGTAAAACAGAATATAAGTATAGGTATAATTTTATTTATAAACACATTGATTTTAATTGAACATACAATTTTATACAATATATTATTATAAAATTTAATTAAAATTATTTTATAGCACATCTGTTTTCTTTATTATCACAATACGGTGAATCAAGGACACGTCATCAAGATTTTTACGATTATTTATACAGTAAAACGAGAACAGAATCTACATCTGCTTTGACGTAATATTTAAATATAAAAATTATTATAATTCAGAAGAAAGACTATATACATTCAAGTAGTCAAATTTGTGAATTTCTTAACAAAAAAGAAAAAAAACTGTGAAGAAAATAATATTTTTCTTAACTGTAAAAACGTGATAAAGGTACAAAAACAATGTCAAGCGGGAAATTGTTGAAAAAAGTATCAATGAGATTGTATAAACGATTGTATACTACAGATAAATAACTATAAACATAGCCACGATTAATACAAAGATAGTGATGATATAAATGAAAGAAAAAAAATGAATTAGAGAAAAAAACATAGAAATTTGTGAAATAATTATTCTCTAAATTAACAAAATACTTAAGAAGTTAAATTATAAAATATAAAATTTTACATTTTGTTCTTAATGACTTTCATAAATATTAAAGAATGTTTAACTAAATAAAATATTTTTTATTATAAATATTTTGTATACATTCATACATATATATTTGTAATTTTGTTATTATTTTCTACATTTTCTAAGTTTGTACATATATTTCATAATTACATATCATATGATATATAATTATTATATATTACAGGGCTTATATCAAAGTGTGACTAGCGATCTCATATGGGGTCGTAGAAATTTTAGTAAAACTAAACATTTTCTGGATGCATAACGACAGAAAATTATTTCAAAATACATTTGACAATACTATACGTATAGTATGTCTATGAGTTTATGATAGTGAAAAAGAAAATAGTATAGAGTCTGTACCTTGGATCGAAAAATATTTGCTCTGGTAAAAGGGGTTGCCAAGTGGAAAAGTTTGAAAAGCCCTGATATATTATAAAAGTATTTAAATAATCTGATCACACCCAAGTGTATGATAAATCATTATAAAAATAAAACCTTATTATTTTCATTCATTTTTTCGAATTAATATTACTAAATATACAAAGATTTCCTATAAATTTTCTATAGAGGAAAAAAAATCTAAGAAATGTTGGACTAGTCCATTGACAGATAATAGACTCTATTGGTAGGTGCAGCAGAAAGCGACCTAGCAAGTTCCTTTAGTGCCGTTTTCCAATCCAGGTTTAATAGTAATTCTAAGGCACATATATGAGCTTAGAATGTTCGTATAGATGATTGATTATGGTTATCTTATCCCTATTGAAAAAGATGAAAGGTTCTTCTAACAATAAGTTAAATTTATAGAAACTTTAAAAGTTAAAACGAAAGAAAACATTTTTAAATTTATCAAAAGATTTAATTATCATAATCTTCGGTATTTAAAAAATCTATTGGAAAGTATAGAAGCATTAAACTAACAAGAATAGACAGGAATTCCTTTGATTAATAACAATTAATAAAAATTAATAAAAAATAATTTATAATTATAACTTCAAAAAAATATATACATGTATATATATAGTATCAATGGGTTAAAAACAAATAATAGATTGAATTTTTTATTGAAAATAATTTTGTTAAGAGTTCAACAAAGTTCTACTTTAGTCTTAACAATTATTAAACTTGTAATAATCGATAATTGAAGTAAATATTATATTTATTTTGTTAATTATAAGATATTAGATTATTGTTAAAAAAAGGTGGGAAAAAATGTGACATTTGAATAATGTCGAATGTTGACCGCAATGGTTTAGTTGTGCTAGAGCTGCTATCGGCGAAGATCACGTGACATTTATCGACGTATCGTATCGGTTCTGGGCCAAAGGAAAGACGAATATGAAAATGGCTGCTGCTACTGAAATATTAAGTATACCAGAAGAAAAAGTGACATTAGAAAATAAAATGTAGAGTTATTCAATCTGGAATTAATTTCAGGTAATATTGACTAGTTTATTGTTTCGAACGTTTAATAAATAAACGTAGTTCTACGAGTGTTCGTAATCGTAATTATGGGCGGTTTCGAAGTAGTTTGCTTTGACAGCTTATAGCTTGACATTTTGACAAGCGAACAGACGTAAATATTGAGCCAAATAACAGGCTAATCAAATGTGTCATTAAATAAGGATCTAAAAATAATTCTAATATCGTTGTGAGAATATGATCAGTAAAATCATTGATCAAGAAAATGGTGCCGCCATGTATTTCTTCTCAATATATTAAATCTCCATATATTATCTACGACGAAAACTGTTAACATTTAATAACGTTAGTATAATGATTTTTCGATAGATATGTATATTTTGTATTTTGTTTTTAACGATTATAATATTTAATCACGATTACTTGTCATTCATCATAAATATCAGTCAACATTGCAATTTAATTATGTAATTTGATATTTGATCAAATAATTTATTGTTCTTGAAATATGTTTAAGAGAATTAATAGTACCTTTGTATAGTATTTTGTTTTCATGTATAACTAATATAACCATACTAATAACAATCAATTGTTAGAAAAAAAAAACAGAGAGAGATTGGCATTTTGATATATATATTATATGTATAATAATAGACTTTTTATATACAATTTCAGTAACTTTTAAGTATGAACATAATGCGCAAATTAAGAGGGGGCACAAGTGTCGGAGGTATGAGTACCAGCAATATGGGTAGTTTAGATGAATGTACAAACAGTGCGAATCCCCAACACACTGCTTTGGGTCTTATGCACCTGAAAAAACTCTTTTTTGAATATAGCCATCCTCCGCATCCCCTTTCTGATGCTGAACGTGATGATAAATTGTATAATATGTTACCGTTATTTTGCAAGGTACATCATTTTTAAATTTAAATTTATATATTTCAAACCAATCCAATTGATAATCGAGTTAAACGCTTTGTTTATTTTCATTAGGTATTTGGCTCTAGTCCTTCTGGAGATATGAATGAAAAATTTTGGGATATTTTAGCATTTACACAACAAGTTTCAAGATTAATGGTAACTGAGATTAGAAGAAGAGCGAGTAACCAAAGTATTGAAACTGCGAGTTGTGCTATTGTTAAGTTCTTAGAGATAGAAAATAGCGAAGAATCGAGTAATGGTTGGATGTTATTATCGGCATTAAATTTACTCGCAGCAGGAGATGCATCTCTAATACAGGCAATGACCGCTGCATCTGTTCCATCGACATTGGTTAAATGTTTATATCTATTTCTTGACTTACCTGAGATGAACGAAGAGGAAGCTGACATTAATGACGCAAACAGTGAATTTACACCTAGGGAACGTAGAATATTATTACAGAAAATATTTGTTCAGGTAATAGCATTATATGAAATATTATTTTGATTATTTTATTATATCATAAGATTAAATAATTTAATATTATTCTTTATATCTAGTTACTAGTGCGTTTATGCAGTCATTCATATCCTGCGGAAGAACTTGCTCGTAAAGATGATTTGACGTTGTTATTCTTAGCAATCACAAGTTGGTGTCCTCAATATAATGTTATGTGGCGTAAAAGTGCTGCTGAGGTTTTAATGACATTATCCCGACATGGTCTTACGCAAAATGTAGTAACCTACATACATAGTAAGTTTCACAATGTTATAGATACCTTACTGATTATCCAGTAATCTTTATTTATATTATATATATACATAAATTGTTTCTTAAATTTTGTTTATAGATAAAGGATGTATATCATCGTGTATTGAAAATATGCAACGTGTACCTGAGCTTGCACTACTGGAAGTTGTAGAAATGTTTGTTACAGTATTTTGTTTCTTAAAAGATTCTAGTGAAGTATCGCAAACACTTTTAGATGATTTTCGCACTTGCCAGGGATACATTTTTTTATCAGACTTTTTGTTAAAGTAAGCATAACAATTAAATAATTATGTTTGATTTTTTTAAAACTTATGTTTTTTGCCTTATTACAGACATGCTCCTTTGAGATTAGAACAAGATAATAGAGTAGAAGCACAAGATGCTATTCGAAATTTAGTATTGATGTTGACATCTTTGACAATGTGTGGACATACCGAATTAAAACCAAGTCAAGCCAGTATGGGTTCGTTATTTCAAATGCTTGGATTTACCTTACCTCAACCAAGTAACAGAGGTAATATTTGACCATGAAAATGTTTTTCTTCATATATTTAGTTTTTGTCTTTACGTTATATATTGTTTTTACTTTAGGAGGAAGTGTTCGAAATATTCAAGCATTTCAAGTCTTACAATCTGTATTTGTCAAGTCCAATTCGTCACTTCTCTGCTGTACTATTCTTGATGCTATTTCTAGTGTTTATCACAGCGATAATGCTAATTATTTTATATTGGAAGGACAGAACACTTTGTCACAATTTGCAGAAAAGATTCATTTGAAAAATGTAGAAATACAACAGAAGTTTTTTCAGCTGTTGGAATTCATAGTATTTCAACTTAATTTTGTGCCTTGTAAAGAACTTATATCCTTATCTATATTACTCACGGCAAATATTTCTGTTACTTGTAGTATCATGTGTATGGAAACGCTCCTGAATATACTTAGGTAGTATGGAAAATATTTTTAATTAATTAATTTCTTTTTACTTTTATCTTTAAGTATTTTTAAATTAAAATTTTATTTATATGCATACATAATTTTTCTCAAAAATTATATTTTAGACACAATACAATTTTTAAGGATGTATACAGAGAAGTAGGCATGTTGGAAGTATTTGTTACTTGTCTTCATCGTTATGCCACATTACTTAAAGACAAACAGGCTGCACAGGACCAAGGACAAGGTAATTGTTTTTATTACGAATTAGTTGATTATCTATATATTTTGATATTTTAATTATGATAGTAATCAAATTGTTGTAAATAATATATTCACTTAGAAGTTGTTTTTATTTAATACATTTGAAAATTTGTTTACAGAATATAAAATATGCCCAGAAGATGAACGTTTGGGTGCCTTAGTTATGGAAGCTTTGACAACTTTATTAGCTGGAAATGTACAGAACGCAAATGTTTTCAGAGAATGTGGTGGAGCACGCTGTGCCCATAATCTTGTAGTATATACAGATTGTCGTTACCCTGCACTTGGAATAGTAAGAGAATTAATTCTTAGTGCTGGTGGTGACGATGATATGGCAACTTTACTAAGACTTATGCATTCTGCACCTCCAAATGCTTTGGTCTTAAAAACACATATATTGAAAGTTAGTAATTACTTAATTTTTATTATATATCTTGTATTAAAAAAATATATGTGTAGGTTATAAAACATGAATATTTTATATTAGTCATTACTAGCGTGCCTACGAGAGTCCCATCGTACAAGAACAGTATTTCGTAAAGTTAGTGGATTTGTCTACGTTATGTCAGTACTTATTTCTCTAGAGGGTCAACTTGGACAACAAATAGAAAACAATACTGAGCCTTGTAATGATGTTGTGCAAAGAACTCCGCAAGATGAAATACAATTATTAACATTATTACACGTGGTGTTCCATACAATAAGTACAGCAATGCGTTTCGAGCCCGCAAATGCGAAATTTTTTCATCACGAGGTATAATTGTCATATGGAATTAATATGCTTGAATAATAGAGAAATTACTAGTTTTATTGTAATATTTATTAAATTCTGTTTTTTTTTTAGATATGTCAATCAAGTCTATGTGATACATTACGACTTCTTGGATGTTTTTCAACACAAATTAAACTGGCTGAAATGAATATAATACCTACTATGAATTACCACAATATGTTATCGACTCTTTTTACTGGAAATGTATTAGAGCCAGCATTTCCGGATAACATGTCAAGGACATTAGCATATGCATGTTTGCTATTAAGACTTCTATACGATGTTGCACTTGATGCTTTTGATAAACCTAATATGGCAGGCATTTCTATGAGATCACCGAGTCATAAACAAGCTAGTTTAGAAGTAAGTTTTTAATATAGATAACGAATATAACAGATATTTAATATTTATGTATATTTATTTTTTAGCAACAAAAATCTTTTGACTCTCCTGGAAGTGGAAAGAGATGTGCCATAAATCCTTTAAATCTAAGTCCTCCTACTCCTGAGCCTATTGTAGTTCACCCTGGCATTGTAGTTGGGATGCTTCATTTACTTCCATCGATATCCGATCATTCAAATTCACAACTTGCATTGGCCCTACAATTATACATAGCAGAAATTATTAAAAGTTTAGTGCGTTCCGAAAGAAATCAACAAGTGATGTGCGAATCTGGTATGGCTGGAGAATTGTTATCTATGGGTAGAATTGCTCTGCAAGATGAAATACATCCTTTACATCAACCACTGCAATATATAATAGAGAGACTTGCTGCTCAATCTCTGGAACCTCGAGATTTAAGGTAAAAACCTATATAAAATATTATTTAATTTTTAATATTTTCCAAAATTAATTATTTATTTTTAAATTAAACTTACGATATTTTTATTTGTCTTATTATTTGTAGAGAATTTTTACGTTTGGGAGATCCTCTATGTTGTATTTCTCTTGATGATATTGAACCGAACAAACCAAGAGGAGGACCAGTGCCTCTAACACGTATTAAAACTTTGGTATCCATGACGACTCCTAAAGATTTCCGAGCTCATGGTTCCTGTACTTTACCACCGTTTGTTGAATTAGACATGAGTTCAGAAGGATTTGCCTGTTTGTATTTACCAAGTATTGCACCTCAGAGTACAACTCCACCTACAGTAGTAACCGCTGACAACAGTGTGCTTGGAGGAATTGGTTCTGGTAGATATTAAGAGAACAAAAAAATAAATCCTATTTTTAGATTTTTTTTATTCAATTATGCTTAATAAAAGATGATTATTTTAGGTGATAGATTATTTCCACCACAAACTGGTTTAACATTCAGTACATGGATATGTATTGATAAGTTTAGTGATCCTAGAACAGATCCTCATTGTGTAAGATTATTAACATTAGTACGTACTCCTCAATCTTCAAGAGATTTAATTTGTTTGATTGCTGTTCTCAGTGCTAGAGATAAGGCTATAATTGTTTCTACGCAAGAAACAGCTATGCCTCAGAGTAAGACTTCCTTTTACCAATTTCTTCTTCTAGACTATAAAAAAAATTTATTGTTTAACTTTATATTGATACTAAAATATTTATTGGAAGAGTTAAAGTAGTGAAAATTGTCTTAGATGTTGGAGAATGGGAACCAGAAGGTACAGGGGAGTGTGGAGCTAGAGTTTGGTGTCCTGATTTATTACACGAAGGACAATGGCATCATATAGCAATTGTATTAAATCGTGCTGTTTTAAAAAATTCAAGTTTTTCGTTATATTTAGACGGGCAGCACATTCATAGTCAAAAGGTAAGATTAATAAAGTTACTTTATTGATAGTTTTTTCAAAAATAATTTTTTTCTTGTAGCTTCATTACATCACTCAAGTTCCGGGTGGTGGAGCAGCTAATTTAACAGTTGCTTCACCAGTTTATGGGTACATTGGTACACCACCTTGTTGGAGACGATATTCCAGGCTTACTTGGAAACAAGGGCCATGTCACTTAGTCGAAGAAGTATTCAATTCTCAAAATATTGCAGCTTTGTTCAGACTAGGTCCACATTATATGGGAAGTTTACAAGCTCCACAGTTATCAGGTACTATTACGGGTTTAACATATTAATTAATGAGTACAAAACAATTTTATTAAATTATATTAATAATTTCTTTTTTCTTGTAAAGGTCCAGAACCTTTGTCAGCTCTCGTAGTTGAAGAAAAACTGGTCTTTGGATTAAATGCGAAAGCAATGTCTCAGCTGACATTGGCTAAAATTAGGAAAGTCTACAGTAAAGCTGATAATAAGTCAATTGCCAAACAGGTACCTATTATTACATTTTATCAATTTTTTGAAAGATCCATTTGGTAAAAATATATATGTTACCGACAAGGTACAAAATCCGACATTCTACAGAATGCCTAAGCATTGTTGATGATGCTTAAAACTAGCTGGCAATGTACGAAATGTATTCATATTTCACACATTTCCTAGGTATTTTGTAAAATGTCAGTTTTTCGTACTTTGTCGGTAACATATACTTTTACTGTGGGTCAGTAAATACCAATCGATAAGAAGGCAAGAATAGATTTTAAAGTTTGCAGTAAAAAAGCAAAATAGCTCAGTTAGAAATCAAAATGTATATCTATTCTTTGACTTGTCAGCTCTGTTTAATCTTTTCTATTTATTATAGCAAAAAATATTTTTATCCTGTGTCCACTCATACACACATACACACACACAAACACATACATTTTTACCACGCTCTTCTTACATCTATTCTCAGAACTCTGATAGTGCTTGTAACATTAGTCTTTCATAACGTACATATCATATTCTTATTATATGTATCAGATTTGTTTGCATATCGTTCTGTTGGTTAATTTCTTTCACTTTAAAATAATAATAATAATAATATAATATGAGAGAGGTGAAATGTAAAGTAATACTATCATATATTCATATTTTTTAGCTTGGTATGTCATCTCATGAAAATGCCACGCCGATTAGAGTACTTCACAATTCTGCAGGCCATCTTAGTGGACCAGCACGAGCTTTAGGCGGTGTGGTCGTTGGTTACTTAGGAGTGCGAGTTTTTAATCCTCGTCCTGTAGCAACTACGATTGATAATGTCGGAGGATGTTCAGTTTTATTAGGTAAGAAATATTAATACATTTGATAGATTTTAAACCGTTTTTATATGATCTTTATAATATACTATATGTTCTCTTTAATCAGGTCTAATTGCTATGGCACAAGACGTAGAATCTCTCTATGCAGCAGTTAAAGCATTAGTGTGTGTTGTCAGATCAAATCAGGCTGCGCAACAAGAAATGGATCGTCGTAGAGGATATCAAACATTAGCCATGTTATTAAGAAGAAAATGTCCTCTTTTGAATAGTCATATATTACATCTGACATTTAGTCTTGTTGGTACAGTAGACAGTGGTAGAGAAACCAGTGCAATTCCTAATGTTACAGCATTTCAAGATCTTTTATGTGATCTACAGGTAAAATTAATGATTAATGAATGATTGGTCGTATGTATATACGTTTAATAGAAAGATACTTCATATCTTATATACACTTTTTCCAAAGGTTTGGCATGAAGCACCTGGAGAATTATTAAGATCTCTTTTAGAACACTTATATGAGTTAATAGCAGAATCTAGCGAGAAACGTACAAATTTACGATTAATGAGGGATTTGCAATTAGTACATAAATTGTTACATATTCTTAGTGATGTTAAACAAAACAGCACACGACAGGTTTTACTGGCTTTACTTAGTATATTGTTAAGTCAGCCAAGACAGGCTGATTTACTCTGGTAAAAAACTATTAACGAATATTTATTCGAATTACATTTGAATGTAACATAAATAATTAATTTTTCTTCTTTTTTATTTATCTTCAGGTTTGGTCAATTCATTGTAGCTACTTTACCATTAAATTCCGAAAAGCATTTAATTCTTCGAGAAAGTGAAGGAAATAAAGAGGGAGAGGGTGAATGTATACTTTTACGAAATCGTTGCTTACAACTTTTACACTCTCTCTTATTTACTGGTGCCAAAGTGAATATAAAGTAAGAATAAATATTATGTATTTTTATTTTATATTTAATGTTTTTTTTATAAACGTTGATAATATTTGGTATCTATACGTAATAAATATCTTACAGTATGTGTGAAGAATTAGCCAAAGTGTTAGGCCTAGATTGGATATTATTATTTCTTCAACCTAGTCTTCATAGTACTACTGTTATTTGGGGATTACGTATACTTGTTGCTGTGTGTTCAGTACAGTCAATTCTACAAAAATTCAAAGAAGGCACTATTAATGGTGGTTGGCTACGTCATACTGATCATAATAAAATGGCACTAGCACTTGGTGTGTATAAGATAGTAAAATAATTGAAGAATAATTGAATAAATTAATAATATTTAATATATTTGCACAGGATGTCATCAACAAATGTCCGGTGGTGATGTTAAGCCTTCAAGTCTTCATGTACCAGGATTTCAACATCTTGGATGGTTACTACCACAACATATTGATCTAGTTCCCGAACTTTATTTTCTTTTCATTTCTCTTATGATGGGACAACCAATTAAATTATTACCGATGGACTCCAAACTTGATTTAAATAATGTATGGAATTTCATGTTTGGTGTATCTCCAAATAATGCTCCATCTTCTTTAGCTAGCAGAATAAATCTTTGTCCAGAAGCTGTAGTAACATTATTAGTCATGGTGCGAACTATGCTGAACAACCATTCAAATAAGTATGGGTATTTAATATTGTCTGGCCATAATATTGCATAGATTTGACTATTTTCTTTTATTTTCTTCTTGTAGTCCAGAATTACTACCTGTTTGGTTAACTGAGTATCCAGTGACAATAATACAGTTCCTATTTTTTCTCTACCATAATTTCACCGACTTCATGCAAGTGTTTATGTCTGCTGATGTTTTGGGAGCATTAGCTGGTACCTTGTTTCCAAAACCTCCAAGTTCTAGTCAAGATAGTAGTGGCGCGAGTACACCAGCAGATGAGGTAAACGAATTCAATTATTTTTTAAATCTAAAGTACATCTGTGGTATTTTAATTATATACTTTTTTATCTTTTTTTTTTTAATTTTTAGCAACAACCAGTATTGGTAAGATCTCCATCAAAAGATATCGGATTGACAAATCATCCTGCAAAAAAATTTGTAATGGACTTTTTAAGAGTCATCATCGTAGACTCTCTTTCTTTACCAGTAACAGTAAAATCTCCACCAGCTATAGATCTTGTTCTAGAGGCATGGCCAGAACATGCATCAGTGGGACAACAAATATGTTATCAAACGGAAGTTTTATCTATTTTAATGGAACATCTTTTAGCTGCGGACGTATTGATCGGCGAACAAGCTGCACTTCCTATTGTACCTGGTGGTTCTGTTAATAATATCACTAGTAATGTTTGTTATGTTGTGGCTAGAATAGTAGATAAATTATGGCAAGGTAATAACATCTGACTATATTTGACATACTAATATAATTGAGTTAATTTCTTTTTTAAAATATACTAAATACTATTTATATTATATTGCAGATGTATTGACGAAGGATCCACACGAAGTATTTGATTTTATTATTAAACTAATTGGGCAAGCTAAAAGACGGTCTGGCGTAGTCAGTATGGAAAGTCTTCATCACTGCCTGAATAGAACAATTTTATATTTATTATCAAGGGCAACAGTCAATTCTATAGCCGAACAAATGTCTGTACTAGAAGCATTACATAAACTTACTACTCACAGGTATTATAAAAAAAGGATTATTTATTTATATTTATAACATTTTTGTAATAATCAATGATATAATAACAATTGAGCTTTTACAGAGTATTGGTATTTGGAGCTGGAAATCATGAGTTAGAATTTATTGGTTGTCTCACCTATTGTTTATTGCAAATAACAGCCGAAATAAAAATTATGTTAGATACTAATATGAAAACAACGTGGCACGTTAATCCACAAGTTGAATTTTGCGATGAAAAATTAATGTCTCATCAGGGTCACAATTTAATCTCTATAGCAGCGGCCAGGGTTTGGGAAGAGCTATATGTATGCAAGAAACCTGCTATAGAAGAAGTTTCTAAAATAACTCTTCCGCCACCTGTAGGTAATGAACGTGCACCAGAATTATCAGTAGTCAGAGACCATGTATTTGAAGCTACGGCAAGACTCTGGGCGAGCTATGTATCTCTCGAAAGAAAAGCTTCTTACAGAGTACCTTGGGAACTTCACAATCACATACAATCGGTATGCATTAATTAATTTATTTATATTTAGTAACATTACATGATATTAAGTATTATAATACTCTAATAAAAACGATTTTGTTTGCATATTTGAAATTATAGAAAATTCAAAAAGTGACAGGAGGTTTAACAAGATTAGCAAGTCGAACGAAAGTTAGAAAAGAAGAATCTGTGCGCGTTAAACTTAGATTGCGTCAAAATACGGTAGCCCAATGGACAGAACAACATATTGCATTAGTTAGAGAACTTGCTGCAGCAAAAAAATTACAACATCAACAAACCAATCAGCATACACAACGCTACGTGTATCAAGTAATAAATTTAATTTGAAATTTCTGTGTCAATTATATATTTAAAAATATAATTGAAATGTTCCTTATATCTATTATTTTATTTTCAGGAATGGTTGCAAACAGAAACAGAATTAACGAGAGAACGTGGTTTATGGGGACCACCAGTTCCTACTAAACTAGACAAGTGGATGTTAGATATGACTGAAGGGCCTTGTAGGATGCGTAAAAAAATGATGAAAAACGATCTTTTTTATATTCATTATCCATATCGGCCTGAACTAGAACATCCAGATAATGTAAGTGGTATCTCGATAATTATACGATATTAAATCAAAATTTAATAAGAAAATCTAATTTAAACGAATAAATGTTTTTCAATTAGAAACAGTTAAAGTACAAAGTGGCTACAAGCACAGATAGCAAGGAGTATTATTTAAAACAACTTGGTAATTCATCTGGTATGTTCGAACGAGAACGCGATCCTGTAATAGACGATACCCCATTAAATGTTAACGAAACATCTACGGAAAACGAACCACCGATGGTAACATGTACGTTAGAACGTCATGCAAGTGAGCCAGATGAAGTACAAGAAGATAATGAACAAGAAGAAGAGAATAATCAAACGATTCCAGATAATCAAACATTATTAAGATTATTAGAAGAACATGAAAAAGTAATATTGTTCATATTTTTATTTTATTTTATGAATATAATATAATATTATTTATGATTATAATTTTAATTTTAATTTCAGATCAGTCACATGTTTAGGTGCGCAAGGATTCAAGGTTTAGATACAACAGAAGGACTTCTATTATTTGGAAAAGAACACTTTTATGTAATAGATGGTTTCACCCTTTTGAAGTCTAGAGAAATTAGAGATATCGAAAGTTTACCGGAAGCTTATGAACCGATTTTACCCTCACCAGGCTCTCCTAGAAGATCTAGGGCAATGCGACAATGTTCGAAATTTAATTATGAAGATATAAGGTATGTATAATATGCAATATAAATATTCTACTAATAATGGATTTATTTCTTTCTTTACTTATTTATTTATTTATTTTTACAGAGAAGTGCATAAGAGAAGATATTTATTACAACCAATGGCATTAGAAGTATTTAGTGGCGATGGAAGAAATTATTTATTGGCTTTTCCACGAAAAGTGAGGAATAAAGTATACCAAAGATTTATGACTTTTGCAACTGCTATCGCTGATAGTGCACAACAGTCTGTAGCTGGTCAGAAAAGAACAGCGAATGTAGAACAGGCCACAGGTTTATTATCTAATCTTATAGGAGAAACATCAGTTACCCAACGATGGGTGGTATGTATCATAAAACATAACATATTATTTCAACATATTAAATACATTTTAATTAAAATTAATTTCTTCGTATTTAGCGAGGAGAAATATCAAATTTCCAATATTTGATGCATCTTAATACTTTAGCTGGTCGTAGTTACAACGATCTTATGCAATATCCAATATTTCCTTGGATCTTAGCTGATTATGATAGCGAAGAGTTAGATTTAACAGACCCATTAACATTCAGAGATTTTAGTAAACCTATGGGTGCACAAAGTCCTGAACGGTTACTACAATTTAGAAAAAGGTATGATGTTGTTGGTGTTATTTTTTTATTTTTTATTAGAACGAAGAAAAGACGAGATAAGAAGAAATGATTTAAAATTAAATAATTCTCATTTGCACAGATATAAAGAATGGGATGACCCACATGGCGAAACTCCACCTTACCATTACGGAACTCATTATTCTTCAGCTATGATAGTATGTTCCTACTTGGTAAGAATGGAACCTTTTACACAACACTTTTTACGACTACAGGTACGTGATGAAAAATAATAAAGATAGTTTTTGATAAACTATTACATGTATGATTATACATCAAAATTTTGATTTAGGGTGGTCACTTCGATTTGGCAGACAGAATGTTTAATAGCGTAAAAGAAGCTTGGCTGTCTGCATCTAAACATAATATGGCTGATGTAAAAGAACTCATACCAGAGTTCTTTTATCTTCCAGAATTTCTTGTCAATTCAAACCATTTTGATCTAGGTAAGTCAATCATTTGTTCTAGAAAAAAATATAACGCATTAGTTTATACATTAAAACTAAACGTAAAATTTTTTAATAGGTTCTAAACAAAGTGGTGTACAACTTGGAGATATTGTGCTTCCACCATGGGCTAAACAAGATCCACGAGAATTTATACGTGCTCATAGACTTGCATTAGAATGCGATTACGTTTCACAGCATCTTCATCAGTGGATTGATTTGATATTTGGATGTAAACAAAATGGACCTGCAGCTGTTGAAGCTGTCAATGTTTTTCATCATCTTTTCTATGAAGGCAATGTCGATATTTACAAGTATGTTATTTTTTTATTACATATTATTGTATTTAATTATATATATTTTTTTGAGATTACAATTACACGTTATTTTTCAGTATTGATGACCCTTTAAAGAAAAACGCCACTATCGGTTTTATAAATAATTTTGGTCAAATACCGAAACAGTTATTTAAGAAGCCACATCCTGCTAAAAAGATGACACAAAGAATTAGTGTCATAGATCCTGGACCTATTACACCGGGCTTAAGTATTACTACATCTGATAAATTATTTTTTCATAATCTTGATAATTTAAAACCATCACTTCAACCTATTAAAGGTTCGTTATTAAATCATATTCCAAATATACTTATATTAATTTCTATTTTATTAAATTATTCTAATCTAATATATTTTTAGAGTTGAAAGGTCCTGTTGGGCAAATACTTCACGTCGATAAAGCTGTGTTAGCGGTCGAACAAAATAAAACACTTATTCCACCATCTTACAATAAATACGTCGCATGGGGTTTTGCTGACCACTCTTTGAGGATAGGCAATTATGACAGCGATAAGGCAATATTTGTATGCGAAGCTATGATGCAAAGCAGTGGTGAAATTGTAGCTTGCGTTTGTCCGTCATCTAAATTGATAGTAACAGCAGGAACAAGTTCTGTAAGTTAATAATAAATGTTCTATAAATAAATTGTAATTAAAATTTGAAATATGCATAAACACACTAAATATATTTATTATTATTATTATTATTATTTAAACATAGGTTGTGATTGTATGGGAATATGCGAAACGTCAACTGTCTATAAAACAATGTTTATATGGACATACAGATGCTGTAACTTGTTTATCATCTAGTACAGCATACAACGTTATTGTATCAGGTTCAAGAGATGGTACTGCAATTATTTGGGATTTATCCCGATGTTTATTCGTTCGCCAACTTCGAGGACACGCAGGTCCTGTAGCTGCGGTGGCTATCAACGAGTTAACAGTAATTTTTATATAAACTATTACTACACTAATATATTCTTTTGAAAGAGTAATAATTTTAATGAAATACATTTTTAATAGGGCGATATAGCAACTTGTGCTGCTACGTGGCTACACGTTTGGAGTATAAATGGAGAAGAGTTAGCGAGTGTGAACACATGTGTTGGAAGAGCTGATAGAATGCAACAGATTTTGTGTGTTGCATTCAGTCAGACGCACGAATGGGATTCACAAAATGTAATAATGACTGGATCTACGGATGGAGTTGCACGTGTACGTTGTGATTTTTTATATTTAAAAAAAAAAACAGAAAAATTAACTATTATTTTTAGAATAATGATTATAAATATATAAATTATTTTGCAGATGTGGTCAATGGATTATGTGCAAGTGCCTGCTGAAGAAGAACAATCGGAAGAAGTTTATGCAAATAAAGAGGGACAAGATGACACAAATGTACAAGTAGACCAAAGCGAAAGTACAAAGAAACGAGTTCATGAATTTGTTAAACAAATGAGTATCTCTACCGAAGAAGCTGGTAAATGATGCATGTTTAACAAAATTTTAATATTTATTTGAACGTTTATTATGCTATTTATATTGAATTTATTACTGTTTTGTTTATGAAAGGAATGTTAATGAAAAGTGGATCAGAAAGTAGCCTCTCTGAACCAGAAAATACCAAAGAAGCTTCCAGAGCCCACGAGGAAAAAGAAGAATGTTCGGACAATGAATCAAGTAATGGTTCAAATAACAAATCTTTATCACATTGTAACCATCCTACTGCAGTTATATTGAGACGAAAGAGTCGAGGAAATCCAATGTTTAGAAAAAGTGAAGGAGGAGGACGTGCTGATAGCGAAGGAACACAAACAAGGTAATTTACAAAATTAGTTGATTTAAAATATAAAAGATAAATAAATGTTAAAATTACATATTATATTTTGTTTTATAAAGCAAATTACACAACAACTCTGGAGATACGGAAGGAGCTTTGAGAACTAGTAAAAGTGATACTAGTTTAACAGATAGTTTTGTAATGGTTAATGAATCTGATACAAAACCTAAAAAGATCAATCCACAAAATGTTTTAAGAGATGGTTTTAAGTGGCAAAGGCAATTAGTCTTTCGAAGTAAATTGACAATGCATACTGCCTACGATCGTAAAGATAATGCTGAGCCAGCTTCTATTACAGCACTAGCAGTATCGAGGTAATAAGTTTCTGAATTTTTTACTGTACAAATACTATATATATATATATATACTATATAATGTATTATATTGTTTGTGCTTTTCTTTTTACAGAGATCATAAAACAGTGTATGTTGGTGATACACGAGGTAGAGTATTTTCATGGAGTGTTTGTGAACAGCCAGGTCGTACGGTTGCTGATCATTGGTTGAAAGATGAAGGAGCCGATACCTGCGTCGGATGTTGTGTTAGATTTAATCTTTATGAAAGGAAACATCACTGTCGGAATTGTGGTCTAGTTTTCTGCTCTAGGTAAGTAGATGTGTGTGTTGTTACTTACATATAAATATTGAAAAATAATATATTTTCATCTAGTCTTTAGAAAAGTAATAATGTATTTACTACAATGTTATTTTCATACACAGATGTAGCAGATTTGAATCTAAAATTTCAAGACTTGGAATTTTAAAACCTGTTAGAGTTTGTCAAGGTTGCTATTCGTCATTACATTCTCAATCTTCTATCGAGAATAATACTTAATATAATAATATTAATAATATAATAACGATTAAAAATAATAATTAATTATAACAATATCTTCTCTGGATCAGCTTAATTATTAGGATGTTGAATAAGTTCTCGGTGTTTTTTCGTGAAAATTAATGCTTTATTTTTAAAAAATTAGTAAAAAACATGCCTCTGAAATTATTGTCCATTGCTTGTCACTACTTTTTTCCATCTTTCTGGCAGCATTTGAATTCCACGTCGGAAAAACGACACCAAAAGTCGACCCATTTTTTGGCATCTTCGTAAGAATGGAAGTGCTGCTCAACCAGGGCATCGATCGAAACAAGTGTTAATTGGAAAGGGCAATGCCTAGTGAATACGATGGATGGGGTAGTACTTCCCATTTAAGCGTTTCCAAGTAGATTTTCACCGGTTGTGCAACACGTGGCCAAGCATTGTCATGTTGCAAAATCACTTTGTCATGTCTTTACTCGTATAACGGCCGTTTTTCCTTCAATTTTTGACTCAAACGCATTTATTGTAGTCTGTTGCGATTTGTTTGAGCAGCTTATAAGAAACTACACTCACCTGACCCCACCAAATGCAGAGCGAAGTTTAGAACCATGGATATTCGGCTTTGGGTTATCGTAGAGTATTCACTTTTCATCGCTATTTACAATACGATGTAAAAAACCTTTTTCTCTCTACCGTTGAAGCAGCTGTTCACACGTGAAAAGACGCGTTCGACGTCTCTCGGCTTCAACTCGTATGGCACTCAATGTCCTTGCTTGTTAATCATTCCTAATGCTTTCTAACGTTTCGAAATTGTTGTGTGATTCTGTGAATTCCTAGTGATTCTGCAATTTAGCTTGCATCTGACATGAATCAAAAAAATCGAAATTCAACATGTTTAATACTATGAAAAAATAAGTTGTTTACACTTTGGCGAAATGACTTAAACTAAATTTCAAATTTGCTTATAATACTTCTTTATGGATGCGTTATATATACTATCTTAAATTATATTCACGTAGTTCTCGTAACGTCATTTGTTGGAAAACAGCGGGAATTCATTCAACATCCTTATAAATGATATTGAAAATCTTATAATTTTGACTACAATATAAACGAAATAATTTGTAACGACGTGTGTGTAATAAGTATACATGAAAATGAAGACGTACAGAGTTTATTGCCTAAAGAGTTAAAATATGTAAAAAAGTAGATTAAATATGTAAAGAGCTCTCATTAAAAGCACATACTGCTAAACGCGAACATTTGAATTCACACACATACGATTTAATTTATAATATTTTCATAAACTTTTTGTACAAGATCATAATTTTCTATCATAAATAACACGTATTTCATATTTTTTATTGAAGAAATTTTTATAGTCTCTTAAGACTATCGTAATCTTTTTGCATCATTGATATAATATGTATATTAGATGTTCTTCATATTTTATAATGAAATATATTTAAGCGAGTATGAGTTTAAAAAAATTATATATATATTTTTTCGATACGTTCACGAATTACAAAAATGAACTGAGAAAATAATCGTTAGCGTTGCTTGTGTAATATTTCCTTATTGTAAATCTCTCTATCTTATATTTACAATGTAAGTAGTTAGTAAACAAAAAATACTAACGCATAATATTGGGACGTCGGATAAGTTCTCGCTGTTTTCTAATAGATGAAGTTATCAGAACTATGTATGTTTAAGTTGGTAGCATATCTATAAAGAAGTACTATAAGCAAGCTTGAAATTCAGATCCATTCCATTGGAATCTGCTGTCCCGCTCCAGAAAGAAGATAAGACATCCATAACATGAAGATACATTCCACTAACTTGACTTGAACCGCCCGTTGGAAAACTGATTGTCACTATCTGCAGTACCACCATGAAACTCTGTGACTGGTGCTGCATTTTTTATTTACTTCTTCAAACTATTTCAATGAAAAAATCTGTTATCAAATATCTGAGTGAATTATTTGAAATATTTTGTTATACCCGGCATACCCCAGTGTACCCCAGTATATGTAAGAATTAGTTGAAGCCGATAGGCATCGAACGACTTCTTTTCACGTGTGAACAGTTGCTTCAACGATAGAAAAGGAAGGGTCTATTGCATCGTATCGTGACTGACGATGACAAGTGGATACACTACCATAATCTCAAGAGTAGAAAAGGCTGGGATAAGCCCGGCCATTCATTAACATCGTCGGCAAAGCCGAATATCCATTGTTTCAAACTTCTGCTCTGCATTTGGTGGGGTCAGGTGAGTGTAGTTTCTTATAAACTGCTCAAACTAAATGAAACCATCACGGAAAATCGCAACGGACTACAATAAATGCGTTTGAGTCAAAAATTGAAAGAAAAACGGCCGTTATACGAGTAAAGACATGACAAAGTGATTTTGCAACATGACAATGCTTGGCCACGTGTTGCACAACCGGTGAAAATCTACTTGGAAACGCTTAAATGGGAAGTACTACCCCATCCATCGTATTCACTAGGCATTGCCCTTTCCAATTAACACTTGTTTCGATCGATGCCCTGGTTGAGCAGCACTTCCATTCTTACGAAGATGCCAAAAAATGGGTCGACTTTTGGTGTCGTTTTTCCGACGTGGAATTCAAATGCTGCCAGAAAGATGGAAAAAAGTAGTGACAAGCAATGGACAATAATTTCAGAGGCATGTTTTTTACTAATTTTTTAAAAATAAAGCATTAATTTTCACGAAAAAATAGCGAGAATTTATTCACCATCCCAATATATCATATGCTTTTATATGCTTGAAAAATGAACGGCAGTATTTAAATGAATATATATACGATATTAATTGCGCAATTAATTTGTTATATTACAAATAGCAGAAAAATGTGTTAGTAAACAAAGCAAGCTCTTATTAATCATACAACAAAATATTATGATGTGTATCACTTATGAGAGACTTCTATTCAAACGACATAGATTTTAAATTTTACAATAGACAATACCTTATCTGCATAAAGTGTTTTTATTGATAAGCTAGTTAAGCAAAATTGTAAAATTTAAAATCGGTAATAGTAATTCTAAGCAATGGAATAAATGTGAATGGAAACTTTTAGTTAAGGATTGGATCGGTAACTTTTTATTAGTAAAAGAAAAAAAATTAACTATGTTTATTGTGTTATTTTAATGTATATTAAAGAATATAAAAAAAAGAAAAAATACTGCATTTTAAGAGATGGTCAAAGCAGATATTTAAAGTTTGATATATATATAAAAAAAGAAAAAGAAAAAACAAGAGCAGCCAGAAAATGAATCTTTTACAAATCTTTAAATTATACTTGGGATGTGTGTGGACTGTAAAATTTGTCTTATTATTCAAAATAATGAATACCAATGTTTTTGTATTCTATTGAAATACTACTTCCATTTTTCTAAAGGCACAAATTTTATAGATGAAAATATGAAAAATGTATGCTCACTATAATACGTGTAAGCGGAATGAATGTAATTTAAGGGATTCAATCTTTTGGTATCATACATTTTGTAGTACTATCGTTACTAGTCAAATATTTCCAAAATTAGCGAGACGAATTCTTTTTATTTCTTTTTTTATTTTTTTTAAATACAAGTTAAACAAAATGTAGCGTGGTATAAATGTGATGGTTTAAAAGAGCATTGCGTATATATATAAATTATCCATAAATGCAGACATAACACATGTATATGTTACTACGTATTCTATTCGAGTAATGTCAATGTCGTAACCAGACTATTTTCAGAAAAAACATTGTGGGTTTCTGTAAATTTTATTTTTTTACTTCTATTTATATATATATAGAGAGAAAGAGAAAGAGAAAGAGAGAGAGTGAGAGAGTAAGAGAGAGAGAGAGAGAGAGAGAGAGAGAGAGAGAGAGAGAGAGAGAGAAATAAAGAAAGAAAGGATTTCTAGAGGTGTAACTTTGAATGTAAAATCTACGAGTAAAAAGTCTACTTCCAAATGTCACTTCGTAAAAAAATATAAAGTTCATATTTCACGAACGGAACATAAAAAAAGAAAAGACTAAAGAAAAGAAACAGAAAAGACATCTTTTAATAAATTCATTATCTACTAAAACATACGCCTGGCGTACCGAGATTTGAATAGACAAGCTCTCCACGATGTATATCATTTATTATTATTTAGTTGCAAAATAATTAATGTACATATTAGAGGGTGCAATTTCTAGTCATAGGCATTCTGAATGCCTTTTCAGTTTATTATTATTATTATTAAATGGATTATTTTTTTCCTTTACAGTTTCAAACAGTATTATTTATTATATTTAAATTAATATATGTTCTTTACCATACATTTATCACATTTACAATAAGAGAATAATGAATATTCAATGTAATTAATTATATTATGCATTTTACTATATCGATTTTAAACCATTCTATTCTTCTAATTAGAAATCATTCTGTGCTGTGCTGTTGTTAAAAACTATAATAATTAGATGAGAACAGATATATAATATAAAGAAAGAAAGAAAGAAAGAAAAAAAAACAAAACATAATATTTATCTCATATACATGAACCGTATTGTATTAAGTTTATGTTAGTTTATAAGAGCATACTTTGTAATTTAGGACAAACATGGATATTTTAGCGATTTTTCCTTATATATTTAAATTAATTTACATGAATTAAAAAAAGACAAAAGAAATTTATATTATATTACATTTGTATAATAAATTATTTTATTTCAGTTTTCTTTTTTCTTTTGTTTCTTTTTTCTTAATCTCTCTCTTCATATGTCCACATTGTAGTAGTTATTAAATAACATCAGAATATGTAACCATAATAACAGTACAATTTTGTGAGAGAACAGTGACTGCATTGACAGATCATTTCATTAGAATACTGTATTAGCAAATTGTATTTTTTTAGTATTTTCGTAAGTAGCGAAATGAATAATAACTATATCAGTTAACAAAAAGGTTTAGTAGTACGATCAGTGTTTGTTCTACTATATTTGACTAATTGGTAAGAAATGATGGTATTGAATGGTCAAATTCAAAAATGTATATAATTAAAATAGTAAATAACACAGACGCCTTAACGGCCTTCTTAAAATGTCAGGTATCAGAGTATTCTCTGGCAAAGTAGTATCAATTAGTATATTCACTAAGAATTAGGATGTAACCAGGCTATATTAGGTTTTCCTAATAATATTCCTCCTGGTCCAAGTTCTTACAAGCAAACCCCTGTCTCCACTGACGGGTACTTACACGTAATGTGAAACTTTAAGTGCAGGATTATCAACCCTAATCAGTGGTAGAAAGGGTTCCTGCATTAAGAAATTTCGGATGATATTACCGGTCCAACGTGTTGGAGCATTTCCTTCATCCATTGTGTAGCATAGTCTATGTGCAGTTTGGGTTCTTTTTCTCTCTTGAGAGTCAAGATCCCAAGAATTGCGCATTAGACATTACCCATCGCAGAATTACTATATATACCAGGGTTAATAGATGTTAATCGTTCACAATTATAGCAGTAAGCATCTTGTCCTGTAACAGCAACTTTAACCCAACCAGTTGCTATGGAATTAGTTCTGTGTGAAGGTCTTCCTATCATCATTTTATATTTGATTTCAAGAACTCTTACTTTTCCGTAAACTTTCGCCATTAGTTCAGGGCACCAGCCCTGAGGTGTCTGGCCATGGTTTCTGAATTATGAAACTCAATATCAGTGAGGGTCCTTCTGTGAGAAGGATTGGCGTCCTTCGATTGTAAGGCATTCAATGGTCCTATAGCCAAGGAAATTGTGATTCAGTACACAATTCGCAGGATATGCTCCCTCCGGTAGAGGATTCAAGTCGTAAAAGTTGTTATTATTTTGGTCTATGGTTTCCTGGACTAATCAAGACGTTACGTATAGTGACACATAACACTCATACGCATTATGGTTTTGTTCAGTAATCCTTCTAAAATTACTTGACAGTATTCCGGGATAGTTCTCGTCACTAGGGATTGGTCTGTGCAGTGTTCCGCCATCAGGAAGGTCACCCTGAGAAGTTATTGCGCTAGTAACATGCCTGATGTATTAGGCTATCTGGGCTGGAATGCAAAAGTCATCTGGAATTAAATTCAGTAGACTTTCCTCATCAGTAAACCAATCTTCATAATTGATAGTTTTAACCATGTCAATTATGGCAGCATTAAGTACTCCGGTACAGACATGCATAAGTATATAGAATGGTATCTCTTTACGAAGTTTTGGATTGAGCGTCTCTAGATCAGCATAGACACGCTCGACCATGGGAAGCTGGAAAAATCAAGATTTTGACTATAGATTCTTCTTTCTGACGTAGTTCTTGTAAATTCCAAATTGGTCCAAAGGGGCTCTTCGATTAGCACTTCCAATTTGTTAGTGGTCAGCATTTTGGTTTTCGAAAACAATTGCTATCTTGGATGGGTTTTGCTTGACCTTTTAAGCATATTGGGGATTGTCCATAGTATAGTTTTCTACTGCTACTTTATTATTCTAGTCTCCAGCTTGTTCAGCCTTTTCGGAATTATAATCCCTCATTCTCTCTCTCTTTGTTATGCTCTATTTATCTTTCGTATTCCAAAGAAAGAAAATGTTTATGTTTAAATTAGTTTCAGATGTAAGTATAATGAATGAAATTAAAAAATTAGCCTCGATTGTATTGTAATATTTAATATTGCGATATATGAGCTTTTAAAAGTATATTATGTACGTATGTGTGAGTATATAAGATCTCAACTGCGTTTAGAAAAATCATTATGTATACATACTAAACATTACATATACATACATACATATATAAATATATATATATATATAAAATATATATAAATATATATTTTTATATATAGATATATTTATATTTAGCTCTATTATTATATTGTTAGATGGCATTGAAATAATATTGTATAGTAGAACTTGTTCGGTATAATTATATTGAATGGGCCAAAGATTTAGAGTATTTTTTTCCCCGATTAGCTTAACTCATTCGCTACCAGTTGTAGATATGCAACACACCAATGTCTAATTGAGACGTCAGCTTTACACATTTGCAACAAAAATTAACGCGGAAAATAAGTTCTGCTGTTAGCGAGCGTGTTAAGGATAAGTTACTGATAATTACTTTTACAATTAGTTTAGTTTCATTTAAAAATTATTATTTCTCTCTTGAATATTATTAAATTTATTATTATATAATTATTATAATAATTAACATCACAAATATTTATTATAGATAATTAATTTATTAAAAAAAAAAAAAGTTAATGTAGTAAAAACTCTAAAAGTTAATAGTCTATTATAACTTATGGCAGGCATTTTCGTGTACTTTTACTCTCCATGGATAAAATTTTCGTTCGCATTTACTACATTTAACAAATACTATACTCAGCTTATCCAAATCTACATTTTCTTGATTTAATTCTGTAACAAATTAATAATATTTAAGTGTGATGATATACAGCTTGCTTAAGTGCATCACCAGTTATGGGACCCTCAGATTTGGAAATATATTTAAAACGATATATACAGTGCTAATATCTTACCTTCTGGAATATTTTCTTTTGGTAAAATATTTTCGACTTTCTCTGAAGATGTTTCAATGATCGTTGAAAGATTATAAGATTCGTTTTCCGTACTGCTTCGTGGTGGTGTTCGTGGCAATTGACGATTAGGTTTCATAGGATCAAAATTTGTATCCACCTTTAAGAATACATTAATAATTATTTATATCCTATAATATTATAATAATTTTTAATACTACATATACTTATTTTATATTTACTTAGAATAAAATTTTGTATACCGTAGGGATATCGTTTTTATCTTCGTTTCGTTGCTTAATTTTTTTCTTTTTGATTAAGTTCTTTTTTACAATTCTTTTCTTAGTATCTTCATCAGAATCATAAGCTAATTGCTTTTTAATTTTAAAAGATATTTCTTCCATTTTAATGTTAATTGTAGCTTCATGCAATGTATCTGTAGGAGAGAATAAGTGCTGATGTATGGTTTCACCTTTCAAAGGTGCATTTTCTAAGTTTAGTGTTTCATCAAATATTTTATTCTGCGTACTTTCCATATTTTCCTTATTTTCTAATTCCTATTACCGCAAATAAAATAAAATAAAATTAGTATCAGGAGTATCTGCATCGATAAAAACATGACAAATAAATTTACCTGATTTGTACAAGATTGATCGTTACATTTACAAGTCGGACCACATTTACGTTGATTCTTAACACAACCGCATGTTCTGGTAGAACAATTACCTTTGCAAGAACAAGTTTTTTGATTCATTGTATTTTTCATTATTCGAGATTTTGTTGTCATCAAATTTTTGTTTATTCGTGGACTTCGTCTGCCACTCACATTAGTATCCGGTGATAAGCTTTTAAAAGCTACAGGATTACCGTCGACATGCTTCTTCAGAGTTTCATTTTCTAATTGCAATAATTTTAATTGTTCTTGCAAATGAATTATCTCATCGTTTTGAATATCACACTGAATAGATTTAGATACTTTTCTTTTCCTGAAAATGACATGCAATCATTATACATTAGAGCAGAATTTATGTTTATGTTTTTAAATTTAATTTTTAACATTGTTAAACTATTTTTATTTTCTTTATTTTACCTTTTATTCTGATTAGTTGAGTTTGCGTTCGCCTTAGTGCTTGGCATTTTTTGTTAAGAAATTATTTAATGTTTTAACGAAATGAACGCAAATAAAAAATTATGACGTTCAAGTTAATTGCTCGGATACAAATGATATTTCTGTTGCTTGAATATTACAATGCAGAATACTTCCTCGACAAAATATCCAAATTATTATTAACTAAGACAAATCTTTTTCAAACAAATCTTTATTTACAATATGATGTTATAATATATTCTTTTAATTATCACAATTTGTCATTTAAATTCGCTGTACGTGTATCCATTTTTTGATATAAAATTTGAATCTGAGTAAACGTTAAGTTCTCAGACTATAAATTGATGTATTCATTTATATACATCATCTAGCAACAGTTATCGAAAACAAATACTCCGACTGCGACTTCTATACTGACCAAGCATTATCGACGCAGCATGTACATCTTATCTTTTCATGATAATACCTACTATTCCTATAACATTATCAAAAAATAACCGCAGAAAAGTTGACATAGAACCTTGCTTAGAAATAGGGAAAAAAGTTTTTGTATTTTCAATTATTAATAACTAATTAAATCAATAATTATTAAAGGGTTCAATTATAGATTTAAAATGTGCAATTAAGAGTACTTATTCATTTTTTTCTGCCGTTGAGGTTCTATGCCAATTTTTCTGCGGTCAAAGAATATATAGAAGCTCAGAAGTTCCCTTTTTTATCTACTCAGATTCATCTTAGTTACTATTAGAACCACCAGTGGACGATAGTAGATACTTAACGCTACGACTGTACAATACTATCAAAGAATAGAGTATATGATGCTATATGATATATTCATTGATAATATATATAGTATAGTTATATTATAATAGAATTTGAAATAATTATATTTAATTTTTCGTGTATAAACATGTAACATGTGTGTGCATTCAGAAATGTACTTATACATATATTTTTAAAAGTAGTCATTTGAAGTGTCCAAATAGAAAAAAATCTCGAAGATTTGTTGTTAAATCCAACGATTTGAGATACCCATGTAAGTGTGGGAAGCCTGCATTCATAAAATGTATCGAATTTATCGTCGAAAAAATTTATATTCCGTATGTATGTACGACGAATATCTTCATTTTTATGCAATTATTTTAACGCTTCTAAGCAGTGATGATTTCGTGAGTAAAATTTTCCTGTAATACAAGTAGAGTGCATTAGTGCATTAAAATAATTGTTAATTAATCGATAAAAATGTCTTTTGTAGTCTAAAAGCTCGGTGCATATGTTCTGTGATCCATCCTCCTCGAAATCCACCGTTGAATTGAGTCATTGCTTAGAAGCGTTAAAATAATTGCATAAAAATGAAGATATTCGTCGTACATACATACGGAATATACATTTTTTCGACGATAAATTCGATACATTTTATGAATGCAGGCTTCCCACACTTACATGGGTATCTCAAATCGTTGGATTTAACAACAAATCTTCGAGATTTTTTTCTATTTGGACACTTCAAATGACTACTTTTAAAAATATATGTATAAGTACATTTCTGAATGCACACACATGTTACATGTTTATACACGAAAAATTAAATATAATTATTTCAAATTCTATTATAATATAACTATACTATATATATTATCAATGAATATATCATATAGCATCATATACTCTATTCTTTGATAGTATTGTACAGTCGTAGCGTTAAGTATCTACTATCGTCCACTGGTGGTTCTAATAGTAATTAAGATGAATTTGAGTAGATAAAAAAGGGAACATGTGAGCTTCTATATATTTCTGTATTGGTATAAATTTTAATCTGCTCTCGTGAGAGCTAAACAAAAGTTTCATTCCGATAGATAGCGTTCCCAAGCATTATTATTTGTAAAGTATGAAGTAAAATCTATCAACAGGCGCGGCAAATAAAATGAATATAAATATAATAATTATAAAAATATAATTTACTCTCTCTAATATATATGTAATAATCTTAAATTTAACGTATGTATAATCAAATCTAAAAGTTTAATTTTATTTTAAATGTTTACATAGAAATGTATTTTAATAGAATATCGACATGTTTAATTAATGTATAGAATACAATATACTTGATCATTAAACATTATGTAATAAAAATATATAGATAAATATTCATAATATAGAAGCAATTAAATTACATTCAAAATTTCATATAATATCAATAATATATTTTTGTTTAGTACATATGCTTTGTATTTTATTCTGAACACAAAGTATTGTTATAATAAAATTATTATTTTGTTAATAATTAATGCAATATTTAATAATATTAAAAAAACAACAAATCTCGGTATTTAATTTATAATATATAATATTTAACGAATTAATTGCATAAGTATTCAAAAAAAAGCTAATTTGATTGAAGTTATAATTTTGAGTTATTAGTATGAAGCAGAGCAACAATAATTTTCATGAGGACCTATTGTTCGAAAAAAAAAGTAAGAGTAATTGGATTTACAAACGGCGATCGAGTTACTTCTTTCTTTTCGTTGCAGCGAGTGGAACATTACGATTAGATAAGCACGGTTCATAGCGCGGCCAAGATGCAGACTTCATAAGAGACCGGGAATCTCGAGAATTGGCTTCAGTTAATGCTCTGTCTGGAAACAGCCAATTCTTAAGAGAATTGCATAAGATGAACCTATTCGTGCGGTTAATAAAACAAAGTTCATTTACAATCAGTGCTGCTGTGTAACAAGCTCCGTGCAGAACCTTACATTTAAAGTAAGTGAGATTTCAATGAATATTCATCAGATTGAGCATTCAACAACAACGTGTTTGTAAGTTTTCGTAAAAAGAAAATAAGAATAAGAAACTATTGTTATTTTTGTGGCATACGAGAAAGAATTTACGAAAGATTCTATCAAGTTTAGGATAGGAGAAACCGCAGCAACAATAAAAAGATGGTGGAAGTTGCAACATTCCTTTCCTGATATTAAACTCGAATCAGACCTCTGATGTGATTTCGAACGGAACTCGGAGGCTTGCCCTATCGGGCCTAAAAGATATAATAGGAATAAATAAATAAAGTATATAACATATTAGAAAAAGGGAAGAAAGTGATAGCGACCATGCCTGCCTGTTCGAATGAGAATTGGTCGAAGTATTGGTCTTCGAATTCGCCAATTTCGAGAAGCAATAGTGCATCACCATTATTGCCCAGTACACCGTTATCAACATCACCACCTTTATCCTCACCGATTTCCACCTTAAAGCGTTCTACGTCGAACGTGTCGAATGTTTCGAACTCATCGACTTTGTCTCAAGGGTCTAGTAGTTCAGGAACGGTGATATTTTCTTCGAGAAATCATCACTTTCATCATTATCATCATCATCATCATCATCATCAACAGCAGCAACAGAAAACCTTACAACAAGTAAATAACAAGAATCCAAACAGCAAGCCTTTTTTTCTCATAAGGATTTTTTATTGGTATTTGGGATTGCTACCAAATTTTTTGAAGTATATATACAACATTATCATTTATGCGTTTTGGACGCCAATTATTTGGATATCCGCTGGAGTTTACTTGTTTTGGATAATCATCCAGCTTCCTCTTATAAGCTTGAAATGGTTCATAACCATCCTAAATACTAAATCTTCGGAAAGAGCACGAAACAAGAGATGCGTTCTGATTAGTGGCGGTAGCACGGTACAAGCCGTACATCTGGCACGTAATTTTTACAAAGCTGGTGCTAAAGTAGTCGTGTGCGAATTGGAAGGACTCTTTGGTTTGGCTAGATTTTCAACTGCATGTTCGAAATTTTACACCGTGCCACGGCCAGGTCCAGGTAGTGCCGCTGAATATATTAAAGCTTTGCAGGATATCGTTAAGAAAGAGAAAGCTGTATATTATATACCAGTTAGCGTCACAAGTACCGCTTATTACGACACCTTGGCGAAGCCGCACTTGGAGATTATGGGATGTGAATGTTTCGTGCCGAGTGCGAGTGAAGTGACGGCATTGGACGATCCGTTGGAACTTTTGCGACGATGCCGTTCCCTGGGTTTGCAAACACCAGACCATTTCGTTTTACGATCGGTTCAGGATGTATCTCGTCTTTACGAGGACAATACCTTCAGAACGGGAAGATACATGATGCTAGCGGCTGGTCCAGCAGGCATGAGAGATAGAGCGAAGATTATTCTACCATCGACGTCCTGGGAATTCATGAACCAACAGCACGAGATCAGCGAAACTAAACCATGGGTAGTGATACGCGATCCAGGTGGTGATCACTTTATCACCTGCACCACCGTTAAGGAGTCACGAATCGTAGCAAATGTAACGTGTCGAGTTGAGGAATCTCAAGGACTCATACCGGAGAATCGTACAGATGTAACTCTGTGGTTGGACCGATTCTTTGCACGTTCTTTTGCAACGAAGATCAATGGACATCTGAGCTTCAGGTTAGCCATCAGTGAAAACCAAGGACCGATGGTATGCATAGGTTGTCGAGTTGGAATTAGTCTTCCTTATGTATGTCAGACCGGAATACATCCCCGTTTGGTCTGGCGACCCTGCAGACATTTCTCCAGACAAAATTCGGCAATTCTTATCAGTACCGATAGACGACAAGAACAAACAACAGACGGAAGTACGAGTACGAGCAAACGTCCAACTGGTGAAACGTCTCCTCGTCTTTTGGGCACTGTTATCGATAAAAGGGAAGCGCTATTTGTATACTGGGACCCATTACCTTATTGTGCTTACTATCATTTGCAATTACCCTTCAGACGTGTCGCAGGTGCGATTAGGGCGCAACCTGCTAGACACAATCCACCTCTCGCTGTAGTACAATGAAGTCATTCGTGATCACAAAATGATTGTCGGTTTCGATCGTTAATTCCTAACTCGATTCTTTTTTCATTTTTTTTTTCTTTCTTTCTATCTGTTCTCTTTTGATATCGTTGCTCCAATGTCAGAGAAATCAGAAAATGTAAATTGAGAACAGATTCAAGGGTCAAGTTCGTTTCTTTAATCGTTATAAGAATACTCTTTCTCTATTTTCTTCTTTTTCTCTTTCTTTCGTTTGCGAACGTTCTTAAAATTGTCTTAGTGTGCGTATGACAGTGCAGATGGATAAAAAAAGTAATACACGTACGAATCACGTGCTATCGTCTTTGATGCAATACACATATACACAAGGATTTCGTTTTGATGACCATGCTCCTATCTTCATAGACTGACACGATAACAATCCCAAAGAATTTATATAGGGATATAATGGACGTTTCAAAATATATCCTCTTCCTACGAACGATTTCTTTAATAAAATCTTACAATACGATTATTATTTTTATTTTATTCTATCATATATATTTGTAAATAGTAGCATGGTAATGGATT